AGAGTATGGCATTGAAAACTGGGGAAATACATACAAAAGCTCACTTCAACCATTGTATATATTACAAAAAAAGAGCAATAAGAATTGTGCATAAGATGGGATATAGGGATCACACCAATGTAGCTTTCATACAGTCTAAATTGTTAAAATGTTTTGATTTAGTGGGATATAAGACTGCTGTGTTTATGTATAAAGCCAGGAACAATTTATTACCTGGTAGAATTCAAAAACTATTTAATGAAAGGGAAGGGGGATACAATTTAAGGGGTCAGTTAAATTTAAAAATTCATGCTATATGTACAACCAAAAAAAAAGATTCTGTATTTCCATAAGTGGGGTAAAACTATGGAATAATTTAAGTGTGGACATAAAAAATAGTAAGAACATTGATGAGTTTAAACATAAGTATAAAGGTATGTGTCAATCAAGATATATGCAAGAACAGGTTTAACATTGTGGGTGTGGTGTAAGAATGTTAACACTTTGTAATAATTCTTTAGTATATTACTTGTGTGGTGTAGAAGAGAATTATTTATGTAGAAATACTGCTTGCAAACCAATGATGTAAGATGATGTCATGGGGTAGGACTGGATAAGTCTGACTTCTTCCTACTCCATTCAAGCATGTACTAGGTATAAGCTAATTGATATTGGATTAGCATTTGTTGGATATGTGTAAAATTATGTGTGTTGATATATCAACTGTCTTTACATGCTTGAAAGAATAAATCAAATCAAATCAAGTTCTGCCAACAAATGAAACAAGGTGCACAAGTTGAACAGCAACAATTTCTTGTCACCAGACACAAGTACACTACCAGTAAGTGCTGTCTTGATGTGTTTTATGAATGCACATTTAGGTATATTAATGACAACAGATTATGTTAAAATAAGGTATGCATGTTCCTTCTTTAACATTTAAGCCTGACAAGGAAAACATGCCAAAAGAAAATCTGCCATGTTACCTGCAGCATCTTGTCTGGACTCGGCTCGATGCCTGGGGGCATGTTGCTGGGGTCAAAGGCCAGCTGCTCCACCTCTGCAAAGTAGTTTACTGGGTTCCTGTTGAGAACCAATTTGCCCACGGGAATCAAAGGGTAATCTTTATGGGGCCAAACCTGAATAAGAAAACTCCCATTAGCTGAAAAATGAAGTCAGACACTCAGGAGAGTATCTGTCATTCAAGACCTTGCTCAACCTTTTTGTATAAATATTCAAAACTAGACATCTGATGCTGGCCTCTAAAAATGCCATTGACGTATCTGCATGAACACCTGCTGCCTTTGTTAACTGGACAGTTGGAATTTAGCTTAGCAAAAAAGTAATGATCACAATCCAAAGCACAATGATATGACAATGAGGCTGCCAAAAAAACATTTTATACCTGCAATTCATCAATAAACAATTTCTTCCCAAAGTCATAAAAACAACTTTACTATATTTTTTTGCTCGGTAGCTAGGATACTGTGGTAAAAGTTTCTCCAGGTTGTAATTTGTTAATAGGGTTTTTCCAGCTTAGATGAGTAATGATCTGTTAAGGTTTTAGGTGGCAAATTTTTATCCGATTACTTTATATTTTTAATCATTTAATGAATAATGGCATTCACTTCTGACATCACACTGATTTTCACAAATATACTCATCTTCATAGTTGCAATAAACCTTACTACAAGTAATTTGCTTAGTGATATTCTTGACAAAAAAAAAAAGACATCAACAGAAAAATATCTTAGTAGGAGTGTTCCTCACTCAGCCCTATGGATACTATCTGATCAAAGTTTCATTACGAACCATTAACAATGCTGTGAACCCTCAAAAGACACTTGTGATGTTAACAGGTGTCCTGCTATAAGCAATAATGTGACTGCATGTGAAGCTATTTTTATGACAGCAGGACTCAACTTTAGGGCCCCATTTGCTGTTCTGTGTGTGCGGGGATGAGGTACCTTGGTAAGATCAAAGGGGTTGAATGGGAACTTCTCAGCCTGCTCAAACGTCATGACCTGGATGTAGAAGGTCCAGGATGGATAGTTCCCATTGGCAATGGCGTTGAACAGGTCTCCAATAGCATAATCTGGGTTGGTGGAAGCCAGGTGTTCTGCCTCCTCCACTGTCAGATTCTTTATCCCTTGATCAGTCTAAAAACACATAACACAGGACATATGGTAAGATATAACAAAGTAATGGCAAAATCACAGGAGGTTAAACCTGGGCTCAGACAGACCTTGTAATGGAACTTGCAGTAGACACACTCTCCGTCAGCATTGACGAGTTTGAAGGTGTGAGAGCCGTAGCCGTTCATGTGACGGTGGCCATTAGGCAGACCCCGATCGCTGAACAGAAAAGACACCTGCACAAGGTATACAGGACAGAAGACACAAGATAAAGGTAAGTCCTACAAGTTTCCTTTGCCAACTGCTGTTGAAGTGAATCATCCAGTGATTACTGCAAGTAGATTTACAGTGAGGCAAGTCCTCACAAATAATTTATACAAGAGCAACACCACAATGCAGCACAACATGTTGTAAGAATATTTCATTCATTTTAATAAAAATATCAAGTGTCCTGTTTGAAATACTCTAGTCTTCAAACACAGTCTCAGTCTCGATGGCAGCTACCTGATGCAGACTCTCGGGCCTCAGGCTCCAGAAGTCCCACACCATGTCGGGGTCTTTCAAGTGTGTTTGGGGATTACGCTTCTGGGTGTGGATGAAGGATGGGAACTGCAGGGACAGGGGGGAAGGCACTGTGTTCAGTGTGATAAGTTTTACACTTGATTCAGGTGGACAACAATGTTGTCAAATGTCTTTCCTGGCCATATTCATCTTACAGAAGGAATTTACAGGTTTGGTCTACATTACCCATCTTTAAACATGTATTTTTAACAAATCCTCATCATGACAGCCACCTGAATAAAGGCTTTTGGTCTGCTTTAAGTGTTTGTCTTTAGAAAGCACTAAACTGATTAAACTAGTTTTACAAACTGGTCCTATATTTATTTACATTTTTGAGAGGAAACTGCAGTCTATGACATTTTTGGCTCTCCAATGCCAAACTAATGCAAAGCCAATTCTGTCTCACACATCCACTATACCCACTCACCAGCATGGCGTCCCTGATGAAGAAGATGGGGGTGTTGTTGCCTGTCAGGTCCCAGTTGCCATCCTCAGTGTAAAACTTCAATGCAAATCCTCGAGGATCTCGCACAGTGTCTGCTGATCCTGACTCCCCAGCTGGAAGAAAACGAAAATTTCAGACATTTCACTCGTACATTAGTGAAGTAATATGTCAAAGCTACATAGACATTAATAGATCTTCATTTAGAGGAAACTGTTTAATCAAATTTATTTATATAGCACTTTAAAAACAACATCCAGTAGACCAAAGTACTTTACATGGCAGAATAAAAATAATTGAAGACATAAAATATGGGGGGTACATTTAAGAATGTTATCTATAACAGTGATAAAGCAGGACTCCTGTGTTAACACATTACATAGTTATTCTTACCCACAGTGGAGAAGCGGACAGCGATAGGTGTAGTCTTCCCAATGTGCTCAAAGACTTTAGCTTTACAGTAGTGGGTGATGTCATGAGTCACCTCAAAGTAGCCAAATGCCCCTGCAACATGGGGGACAGGAATAAGACGCCTGTCGTTTCTATCAGCTCAGACATCTATCTGAATCACATGTTTCTACTTGACTGTTCAGACTAGCTCAGTGTTACTGTACATCACAACACACAGTGAAGAACGCAGCCTCAACAAATATCCTTCATTCACAATTTGTCCAAAACCATTAGTCTGGAACCAACCAACAAAACAAGGATCCTCATTTGCTTTTTGCCTACTTGTTGTCAGTTAGTTGACTTTGACATTTACAATACTATGCAGATGAGAAGTGTTAAAAATAAAATTAGTTAAAAAAAATAAGTCAGATTGTTATTTCTCTGTGACAATATGATCTCAGTTCATCCGCATCACCAATGAAGCTCAAGTAACATTATTTTGTCACAAAATATTATCCTGAGATCATTATAGAACTCAACCAACCAAACTTTATGTATGACCGAAGCAAAGATGACTGATTTGCATTAAGGCTCAGGATCCTTTCTTTGATTGCATATCTCTAATTGCTGAGAGCAGAGGGTTAAAGAATAAAACTAAAGAATGAAAGAGGAGTAACTGCTATGCTCAAGACCATTTTGTTATCAAAACTTTTCTTCAGTCTGACAAGTTCTGTTTTTTAAGTTTGTATCATTGGATTAATGGGCACTTGTCACAGCAGCATGAGAAACCAAACTGTGCTAGCAAAAACTGCTTAATGTGTTTAATGTATCATATTTTCACATTACATCATCACAACATTAGCGTCATTAACAGAAGCGAGTCTCAGCACTGCCACAAAAACAATCCTACCAGTATTTGTGTTTTTAGTATTGTAGAAGGTTAAAAGGATATATGGCACAAAGACTGCATTATGGCATCGAACCCGTTTCATATTACAAGCACTTAGAGCTGGCATCAAACCTGAAAATGTCTTTAGTATCTACAGAGCTGGACATAAAAACTCTCACATACCTAGAGTTGGTTGGCATCAAATATCTGGTCAGATTCATATTCTCAGTGGCTTTTTCCTACGATGTGATAATTTCTGATTCATTTAATTAGTTTGAACTTGTCTGACCTTATGTCAGCATGTCCCATAGAAACACACATTCACTGTTTGCTAAAGGAGTAGGTGGCACAAGCTCTTCTTGTAATGAGAAACAATCAGGATACAAAAATTCTCAGTTGAGAGAAACACAACACAGCACACTGGTGCCGCTGAGGCGATACACAGCCAGCCATACAGAAGAAACTGGTTATGGCCCAACGCTCACCTGCACCTTTGGCGTGCACCACTCTCTCTGGGATTCGTTCGCGGTCAAAGTGCGCCATTTCATCACTGAAGACCACATCTTGGACGAGCAGAGGGCCCCTCGGTCCTGCAGTCTGCAGGTTCAGCTTGTCTCCAATGGGATGGCCAGCCCCTGTGGTCAGTGTGTCTGACCTCTGGTGTTAACAAACCAACAATAAAACTTTATCAGGAAAATTTTGAAACCAGTTATAGATTACAGCTTTAATCCACGACCTCCCTGATCGTAACTCCAAATTGAATAAACTGTATTTATTTATTCACCTGTGTTAAATATCTCTGTTGCAAATGACAGCGAGATGAGCCTTGTGCAACCACTTGCTTGTTTACAAGTCCATATATTGTTTTTTCTGTTGCCGTTTATTTTGTACTTATGTTCTAAAAATCCATACAAAAAGGAAAAAAAATATGGTATACAAACAAGAAGCTGCCAGCACTATTATACAACTTGCACCAGAAAAATATTAAAACTGGTTCCACCAATGTATGTGCTGAGATCACATGAAGTACCAAAAATAACAGCAATCCTTATTGTCACAGCTGTAAATTATATTGATAGGGTCCCGTTGATTAGTGTGAATATTATCACAATCAAACTACCTTGGGTATCCACACAGATGCAACAGCATTTATAAAAATAAAAAAAATAAAAAGAAGAAAACACAATCGACATGTACTTAAACAAATGTCACTTTAACTTTTAGGTGACTCAAGCTGTTTGTTCTGTTGTGTTCTGGTTATTAAATAACGGACAGGGTTTGAAGTTCAGCCTCAAATATGCATGAGGACAATGAACTAGTTACTTCATACCTTTGCACTGAACTGTTCTACTTAAGGACATTTCAGCAATTTGCATTTCGTGAGTGAAAAGGTCTGGGAAACGGCTAGTGGTTAACGTTACTTGTGTGGTTTCTCTGACAGGCCAGTTTAGCCTATAACCTTAGCAAACGATTGTTGGCAGATTTACTGGCGAGTCCTTTAGAACGAGCATAACCTGTAACAAAACAAAGAGTCGACAGTAAACTACTTCGAAAGCATTTATTTACGTGTCTGCAAATGTTAGCCTCGGTCGTGAACGCTAACGCCAGCTAGCCTTGCTTTGACTGATAACGTTGGTTAGCTTGTTACCCTGAAAAAACGACCCCTCACCCATTTACCCCAAGTCGTGCAACGCTGCGCAGCAAAAACGCTTTCACAAATGCAAAGCATGAACAGACCTGAGACCCTCTATTCTCCTTCCATATCTTCATTTGATCGGTAGCTTTATCTCTGTTGTCAGCCATCTCGACAAGTTGTGCACGTTTAGACCTGACACTGTGCAGGCGGTGTTGTGGAATCAAAATGTTATCCTATTATCTAAATGCCTCAGACATTCTTCCTGGAATTTGCTCAATGTGACCCCGCCCCCTCGGCACCCCTGTCTTCTGATTGGCTGAAAAGCGGGGACTGACCTACTTTTGAGAAAGGAGAGGAACATAACAATCCGAAGATCGTCTGTGGTAGTTACGTAATGGATATTGTTAATTGTTTTTTTCTCAATTTTCTCGGCAATGTCAATGTGGAAAATTATTGGTGCAAATGACTTTTTAATATCTATTTTAAAAGCCTTTGTTAGAAAACAGTCTGCTTATTTTACAAAAGCCAAACATTCACTGGTATCAACTTTGCAAGTGTTCATGGTTTTATTACTTCTCCCATTGTTTTAAGATAGTAAACAAAGATTGACAAAAACCTCAAAGATAGTAAACAAAGATTGAGGTTTTTTGTCTGTTGACCAGACTAAAACAGCCCACAGAATATGTTATTATTTGACATTTTGTACACTGAACAATCGATTAATAGTTAAAGAAGATAATTGACAGAAATATTTGATATAGATTAAAAATGTTAATCCTTAAAGTCTGCTTTTAAAAACATCTGCAATTGTGTGACACTTAAAGTCCAATTTGTGGTGAGACTGGTGTTAGGCCTACCTATTATTTTCAACATCACAAACTAATGTTTTAAACTCTGTAATAAATGTGTCATTTCCCACATTATTTTAACCTATATCCCATTCCTTAGAGGTGTACATACAGTATCCACCGCCTATGCCATTCCCAGGTTCTATTAAGCAGCTATTTAATGTTGTGATAAACACAATGACTGTGTTTTCATAGACAATAATTAATCACTGCAACAATCCTCAGTGCCAAGGGCAGATTCCAGCCTACCATACTTTCAGATGAATTGTGTGGAACCTAAAAATAAGGGGAGAGTGAGACACATCCTGTCTTTTCCTTTCTAACAATTTCAGGTCATGTCCTCAGGATAACAAAGTGGCCAGGCAGTTACTTTTGAATTGCTTTTATTTCAAACAGCATTCACACAATACACTGTATTCTTGAGGCACATTCACATCAAGTGCTAAACAACATCATGCATGTGAATGTAGGTTACAGCTTTGTTGAACAGAATGCCAATGCTGATTGTAAATGAAAATATTGCTTCATTATTTGGCACAGTTGGAAATATCGTCTATTATTTGACTACAAGTGTTCTAGCTTTGCACTGATTTTCAAAGTGAAGTGGAAAAAAGTCACAAAAATGCATAAGGCTGATGATGCTTTTAGAGTTAGCAGATATTTCACATTCAGTTACAACAAAACAGCACTAATTCACAAAGTAGCAGAGAATATCTCAGACAAATAAAAAGCCACCTTGACTTTTTGACTTTTACAAGATTCTTCTTGCATTATCTTGATTGTAACCAAAACACCTTTTAGCCCCAGTTGGTATCAAGTAGGACCCCATCAGTGCTAACAAGTTTTCAGGTAGCTTAATGACAAAAGCTAAAATGAGAACAACAGGTGAATTCAGAACATCCTGTAACACAAAAGAAACCATAAACCCATTTAAAGGGGTTAGTAGAACTTACAACACAAGTTAAATTCCCAGAGGTGTTTAATACAACAACATTGATGTTAAATATAATATTTTATAAATTAATTAGGAGTTTACTTATTATATTTATTAAAGTCTAATACAACAAAAGCATGATTTTCACCCAGAATTTAGTGAAAAAATGGCAATGAATAGATTGTTGTATATTATTTACATGTTTCAGTATGCTTATGCAACTTGTATTGCATTAAATGTGTTAAAAATAGAACACTGTAACATGATATTTATACATTTATGCTGATTACATACTGTATGGTTTGGCCACCCTGTAACAATTGCTTCAAATTACAATTAGTTCACCTGGATAAGAGTACCTGGATGTTTTTATTTTCAGAAGCACAATACTGTATATACTGAACATACCAGAACCTCTATTATTTGTCAGTCTCACTGTTAACAAATTACACAAGCAAATCCAAGAGAAATAACTCAGCTGGCCTCTAAAACTGCTACGAAATCAATCAAGTATGCATGATCAATGACCGGTTTGAGGAGACAAATGAATGTTTTCCTGAAAGAGAAGTGGTTTCACCCCTCCATCCAGTCAATCTTTCTCTATACAGTTATAATAGGCTACAACCAGACAACCAGAGTAGGAACCATGCAGGGTGTGTGTGTGTGTGTGTGTGTGGCCACCTCAAACTCCAAAATGAAATTTCTGATCAAGACGGGAACAAGTACCCACATGTCTTCTTTGCTGTTGCTGGAGCCAAAAGCACGGGTTGTTAATGTAGCCAGTTTTGGTCATTTGGGACATGGCCTGCTGCTTCCTACACCCCATAATGCACCCAAGCCAAAGTGAAACCAAATAATAAAGACACAATTCAGGCATATAACTGATCCAGGGATCAATGATACACCGAGTTAGAACGGACTTTTTGGATTCCTCCTCATTACATGAAGATAGGTTTTTACTCCAATTTGTCACTCACCAGAAACTGTGCCAACAAAGCGATACATACTGTACTAGATACAGTGTGCTCTTGTAGGGGACAGCGTGAACTCTCATCTCACTATAACTCCAACAGATGGTACCAAATGAGATCAGTTGAAAGAAACATGAACAAGTGTATATTTTACTTGAAACTGGTCAGGTATGAACAAGGGCAGAGAGGACTAGATCCTGCGCAGAGGGTGCCACATGGACACGGGCTTCCTCAGAGTGGCCAGCATCTGGTTCCAGTGGGTGATACCCATCCCACTGGCCTCGGGGCCGATGATTACGTGACCCAGATTCTCGCCCCGGCCATCATCTACGGCCTCCGCCACTGTCACCCTCAGGGAGAGCTCCTGTGAACAGTGCAACATGGTTACACAACCTAAGATATGTAATCATGACTCAGCATCTTGTTAACAGCAGGGTTCAGCTTTGTGAGATCAGATCGGTGAACACACATAATAACAACATATTGCTACTTTTATTGCTTTTGGTATTTTAACCTTGTTATCATCTTTGACTCACATTTAATCTTATTACTGTTTTCTTAATAGCCAGAGGGGCAAGAGCAGTTACATTTTGGGGCATTAAAAATTTCATAGACTGATCCATGCATTTAAAAGGCAGATTTTATTCTGACAAAACATTTTTAATTATGTTGTCATAATTATGTTGCTATTAGGATTTTTAGCTCTAGGGTTGGCATTGTCCACCACTGAGGTGCTGAAGTTCTAAATATTTCAACAACTACTGAATGGATAGCCTTGACACTGGGTACACACACACACACACACACACACACACACACACACACACACGTTAAGGATAATTTGTAATAACTTTGGTGATCCCTTAGGTTTTCCTCTCAGGTCAAAAATTTTATTTGAATTTAAATTTAAACATTCTGGAGAGGGTGAGCTTGTGACCAAAGGGTCACTGGCTCAATTCCTGGACTGGCAGCATTAAACCTGGGTGAAACAGGTGACAAAGCAGTGCTTGTCTCACTCTCATTAACACTGTGGTGCCCTTTAGCAAGGGCCCCAACTGCTCCAGTGGAGCTGCTCAGTGGCTACAGGTGAGTCTGTGGTTGTACTGGGCAGCTTCCAGATGTGGATGTGTAACTATGTGAATGTGAACAGGGTGTCCTTGCAAAAAAGAGCTGACCTATCAGTGGACCTACCCAGAATAAATAAAGGTAAAAAAAAATGTTATAAAATAAGGAGAGAGGCCTGGCTTGGCATGTTCATGGCAAACAAACTATATGTAAACATAAAAAAAACAGTCCACTTAACATCTTACATGATACCTGAAAGCAGCATGTGCATATCTGTTTACATGTAACCACACAACTGGTCATATTCTTTATGCTTTAATAATTTAAGTACGTTAAGCATCACCTGCAGGACGACAGATGGCACAGAGAATATCATCGCTTCGTTGAAGATGGGGTTTGTGTCGTCCCTTTTGGTGGAAGTCTTCTTTTTGCTGATCTTCCTGCCATCTTGCAGAAGATAAACTTTCACAAACGGATCTGATAATGAGAAGATAGAATGAGATTACAACAGCTTTTCAGGCCTATAATACCCAACCAACATATGTAGCACACATGTAGACGCCCATTCAAGGGCAATTAATTACGCAGTCCTGTACACACAATTAGCTCTGTGGATGGCAATGACATCATTTCAGTAGGTGACCTTTATCAGCACAATGTTAGTGTGGCACCTGTGGACATTTAATGTGATGAACAGGTCATTTAGGTCCCATCTGCCTTTCTCAATGAAGACAAATGTCTCTGCTGTGAGTGGCATTAAGAGTCTGTTTTTATTAAGTCAGTAAGTGTTAATAGCAGACAGAGACAGACAAGTGTATACATGCAGTACATAGTTCATACAAAAAGAAACATACACTCACACGCTGAGGCAGAACACATTTACTCATATTCACAAACACACAGAAAAAGAAAACCCAATGTCCCTGACCTGCAGTGTTCTTGCCATTGGTCCACACCAGATTCTTGCACTTGGCCACAACCACAGTGAGGCGCTCTGCTGTCGGCAAGTAGCTGAGAGACAACAGGATCTCGCCGACTGCATCCACAGCCTGTGGGCTCAAAGCAGAGGATTAAATCAGATATCAGCTCACCGGCTGCTGCTATGTGTTGGTCATGTTGAGATAACATATACCACCCAATGAGATGTCCAACTCTATGAAAATAATAATCAACTTGGAGGAAAAGAAAAATGTTTGTGAGAGGTAACTGATCATAAAATATCAATGGTGTACTGAATTTAAACAATGTTTAAAGTCAACTGTTTACACGTTCCCACTGAACTGAATGAGAAAGTCTGTCCAGACTTTTGACTGGCAGTGTCTTATCAGTTAATCTGTTACATGCATTACATCCACTCAGCTCAACTTCTTCTTTGTTGATTCTGGCATGTAGTTCTGCTGAACGTCCAGCAGAGGGCCACCACACATACTTGTACTTCTATCTTTATGTGTTCACTCAGTGACATAATGCATTCCCTATCTCCTTACCCTGACCCTTAACCAGAACTAAGTGCCTAGCCTTAACCCTAACTTAAACCTAATTCTAACATGAACCCTAAAACCAAGTTTTAACCCTCAAAAAGCTGATTTGGAAAGTGAGAAACGGCCAAAATGTCCTCACCCTGTAGCAAGAGAATACTGTTTTGGTCCTCACTATATAGCAAGTACAAGAACATGCTTTCTTACACATTACAAAATGTTCAGTAGGAAGAAGTACAGATTATATTGGTGATGTGCCTAAAATCAAAAAATTGTAAGGATTTATTATAACATTATTTTTCTGTACTGCCTTTATGTCATATCAAATTTGACTCTGTGGTACATGGCTGTATTGTAATTCACCTTATTGACATCTTGAAGGTAGAGCCAGGCATTGAATGGTCTGATGGTCAGGTCCAGGTCCGACAGCTTGAGCTCTGCTACCCCTGCACTGATGTTCCTCTCATCGGCATCAATGCCAAAGGCAGCGAAGCGCAGACTATACTCCTCTAGAGTGGACAAGTCCATGGGGATGGAGAAGCGCTCATCAAAAATCACGGTGAATGCATTTGTCTGGACCTGTAGGATTATAAACTCAGTTTGTGATAATGTTTGGACCTGTTTTGTGTTCAGGCTAAAGAGGCTTTCTGTGCAGGTTACAGTTGCACGCACTGTGAGATAAATCACATAAAGGCAAGAATCAAACTTTCTAAAATATCTGGTGTAGGCTGTAACATCTGCTACTCTCTTCATGCTCTCCCTGACTGACATGACCGAGTCAGGCTGTGAAAAACAAAAGGCCCAAATACTTTCGATTTTTTAGATAACTCACTCAATCTTGAAAACCCTCTGATTCAAACAGGCAGAACTGATTCTTGCACACTCACTGTTGTCACAGTCTAAGTCATCTTATCTTCATTTATTTTCAAAAACCTTCAGCTTTCAACAGCAGCTGTTTATCACTAAGAAATGTTGGTTAGCTTTTCAGTGGGAGATGGGGGTGTTTGAAAAGCTATGAGACAACACTGGCAGAAAACAGCACTGAACTGAGCAGCAACAAGCCAAATATGCAAAATGCTGAGGATTATCAGAGGCATGTCCAAAAAAGGCACTGCAGACAGGGACTAACGTTTGGCGCAATAAGAGCACAAGGTCACAGAGGATACTTTTCTCACTGTGTCATAATTCCTAAAACATTCCTTCACTCTGCTGCAAATAGACATTTGTACTGATATCAGCCTGGAATAAAACAACAGGAGCAGCATCTACAGTGCATGAAAATAATTACTTTTGTCTGTTTTTCATCAGCCATGCTCAAAACCAGTTGGTTTCAGATTACTAGTTACTGTTCAATTTCTTTTCTTGACAGCCAAAAACAAAGATGCTGGCCAGCAGAGCACACCACAACTGCTTCAGATGAAACTGATGCCTTCTCTGTGGCTAATGCTGATTTCAAGCCATCAGATGTTGATGCACATGCTGAGACGAGGGTTCACAGAATGGCCGAAAGTTACCAGGCAACTAGTAAATGGCTTTAATAATAGCTTTTTTGTTCACACCAGTCTGTGAAATGCAGTGAGGAATATTTCAGCTAAATGCATGTGATAAAAAAGCAATAACAGCAGAGGCTGTGCAAGGTCGTCAAAGGTTGTTATTGATAAAGAGTAAAATGAAAACTCTCTGAAGCATGAAATAACTGTTAATTCAGAGCACAGGCTGTACAAAACTGTATGTTATGCTGACCTTTGATTGTGCATCATAAAACAGCTGAAATGCCTCATAATCACCCAACACCTACAGAATTCAGACAAGGCCCCGTTGCTGCTGCTGCTGCTGCTGCTGGTGCTGCTGTGTTGTGTAAATATGTCCATAAAGATACTGTCTATATCATCCAAAGCAGGTGGTATGTCTTTGCTAGCACGGTGCACAGACCTGCTGTCCCAGTATGAGACAGTGTGTCTGCACTATTAGACTTATTGCTTGGGGGATAACAATAGTGATGAGTGTGAAGAAAATGAGGCAGTAAAGAGAGAGAGAGGCAGGTGTGCAAGAGCTACAGAAGACAGAGGAAGGGAAAAAGAAGAGTGGCACACACATTATTACAGGCCAAACAAAAGCAAGAACCAGGGTCAGCAGTTAAAGGAAAAGAGATGAGGAGGGAATTGAGCATGAGAAGGGAGTGACAGATGTGATAGAGTGATAGAAAGCAAAACAGTGACAACAAAGAAAAGCTGGAGAAGAACGCGAGTGAGAGAAAGCACATGAAAACAGAGGGAGGGAGAGAAAGAGAAGCTGGCTTGACCATCGGGGTGAGCGGAGCTGAGGTCAGCATTTCCTTTGGTCTTCACCACTCCTCGACATTAAAGAATGAGCCGCTAAAGGTATCAGTGACTGCTTCCATTATTCTTACACCCAGCTTGAACCCATTAATGCAACACAAAAACATGCTCAGGTAAGGGTGCCCAAATAAGCCTGTATGTTGCCCTATCAGGCTGCACACACCAGAGAAAGCCACAGTCACACAAGGCGCAATATCGGTGACTCATACTCAGGCAGGAATTCGTACATTTTCTTGCACAAAAGAGCTAAGAGCAGCCAGCAAGTGTAGCCATGTTCTTTTCCTGTCAGGACAGTGACTTAACAGTAGATTCAAGCTTTCATAAAATTGTTTTTGTGGAAAATTCAAACAAAAGGTCATTAATTAACCCTAATTAACCATTAAGCACAGGAAAAGATAAAAAAAAAAAAAAAACTCATGGCAAGTCAAACTTATAAGACAGTAAGGCTAAGGTTTGAGTTAATATTTCTTTTTTATGATACACAATCAGGCACAATCGTTATCTTACTATTTTATAACTGTAGTAAGTCAGAATAAAGAAAATCAGTTACTACTACTACAGCGATGACTAATAATAATAAGAACAATAACCATTGTCAACTAACCCTAATCATTTTTCAAAAGCAACTTCAGTGCTTCATAAAAGACATAAAACAGATTTATAGAACATTAAATTCTAAGTACCTAATTTTAAAAGGAGCGATTAAACAGCTGGAATTTAAACAAAAATGCAGTAAAACCACAGAATAAAAATACAAGGATGACAGATTTAAATCAGAGATTTGTTTTTGATTAATCTTGAAAATGTAAATGCTTGGAAAATCATTGTACCTCATCACATTATGTTGATTATTAAACTACTGATTTGCAGAATTGTCAGTTACAACTAGAGTTTTTAATAGGATACATACTGTTGTATCACCCAGCCCGGTTATCTAATCTGAACTCACATGTGTGACTTGCAAAACTGACCTCTATTTTTTGATTGATTGATTTTGATTGATTTATTCTTTCAAGCATGTAAAGACAGTCGATATGTCAACACACATAATTTTACACATATCCAACAAATGCTAATCCAATATCAATTTGCTTATACCTAGTACATGCTTGAATGGAGTAGGAAGAAGTCAGACTTATCCAGTCCTACCCCATGACATCATCTTACCATCATTGGTTTGCAAGCAATAAATGATTCACTTCTACACACACACATATTATACTAAAAAAAGATTATAACAGTGTTAACATTCTTACATAATTACATCCTTAAATAATTATCTTCTACACCACACCAGTAATATACTAAAGAATTATTACAAAGTGTTAGCATTCATACACCACACCCACAATGTTTCATCTAATTAATCATTAAGCCTGTTCTTGCATAAATCTTGATTGACACATACCTTTATATTTATGTTTAAACTCGTCAATTCTATTACTATTTTTTATGTCCACACTTAAATTATTCCATAGTTTTACCCCACTTATAGAAATACAAAATCTTTTTTTGGTTGTACGTATAGCATGAATTTTTAAATTTAACTGACCCCTTAAATTGTATCCCCCTTCCCTTTCATTAAATAGTTTTTGAATTCCACCAGGTAATAAATTGCTCCTGGCTTTATACATAAACAC